ACATCTGAAGAGGTGTGAGCCTAGATCTTTGAATTATGCACAGTAGTTTAAGCCAGTGTTAACTCAAGGGGAAAAAAAAAAGCTGGCACCATCTAACTTCTTTGTAGAGAGCACTTCAAAGTAGAGAAAATACAGTATTTAACTGCTTGATTTGTCCTTTACCATCTGAGGCTATTTTGTATTTTCAAGGAGTCTCCTTGCAAGTCCTTGAAAATAGCACTAAAGGGCCTCCCCTGGTGGCGAAGTGGTTGAGCGCTGGGCTGTAAAGCTGCCCACAGCCTCTGCAGTGCCAGTTCGATCCCCGATCGCTGGTGAGGGTCCCACATGGCGCGCAGACCTCTCCTGCTGTGCCCGCTGCTCCCCTCAGCAGTGTACTTCGTCAGTCTGCCTGTTCTGCTCCCCACTCTGGCTCTGGGGAATTCTCTCACCCTCCTATGCTTCTGACTGTACCCAGTGCTTGTATAAATAAATAAATAAATCTTGAAGAAAAGAAAAAAGAAAATAGCACTAAATTTCTTTGTATTGCAGCTGCCTTAAAATAGACTTAAACCTTGACTTTTGCTGGAAGATCTGTTTCCCTAGTTTGCAGGGATGAAAACTAATAGGAAAGTGTTCTGAACCCCTGGCCTAGTAAGTTTACATCTGAACACCCATTTACTCCCTTTCCCTAAAATTTCAAACTTTTTTTAGATGCAGGAAGTGACAAAGAGGGAGATACCAAATGAGAATCACCAGGAAGATGGTAAATATTTTGCTCACTGAGTATTTTTCTCCACACTAATCAAAGAAATCTAGATGTGAGGAGAAGATGGAGATGTCTCAACCTTGGACCTCTGTGTGATGGACTAATTATTTCCTGTCTTCGGGAAGGCCTGCCCTGAGTGCTCACTGACTCGTGAGGCCTTTCTGGTTGAAGAATGGGTAACCTGGCTCCTTTTGTCCTTCACTTTGTGTCTTGGCTGACTATTCTCTCTTCCTTTTTTTTTTTTAACTTTCTTGCCTTCTTTGGGATTTATTATGCTTTTATGCCTCATTTTCTCCCCGTACCAGTTTATAAGTTATATGTTGTTTCTATACTTTTAGTATTATTCCCCAAACTCTATATATCCTTAACATATACAATTTTAAAATTAATCAGTAACTTAATTCTTCTCATGGATAGTAAAAAAACCTTAAAGTATTTTACTCCATTTAATTTCTCTTGATTTATGTATTATTGTTACAGATTTTAATTTTCTGAATTTCTGAAAACCTCCCACAAACACTATTTTAGACCAAGTTAATTTAAATTTATCCATATATTTACCACTTTGTTGGCTCTTCATTTCTTTTTCTCATCTCAGATTTCCCTTTTGAAATACTTTCCCTCCGGCACATGTTTTAGAATTTCCTTTAGAGTGAGTGATGAACTTTTTCAGTTTTTGTCTGAAAATGCTTGTATTTTATCATCATCCTTTCTCTTTTTTTTTTTTTTAAAGATTTACTTATTTTTATACAAGAGCTGGGGTACAGGCCAGAGGCGTGGGAGGGTGAAAGGATTCACCAGAGGCAGAGCAGCGAGCAGAACAGGCAGACTGACCGAAATACACTGCTGAGGGGAGCAGCGCGCAAGCGCGACAGGAGAGATCTGCTGCACCATGTGGGATTCTCGCTGGCCAGGATCAAACCCGCACTGTAGAGGCTGCACACAGCTTCATAGTGCTGCGCTCAACCCACTGTGCCACCAGAGAGGCCCTCTCTTTTTTTTTTTAAGATTTATTTATTCATACAAAAACTGGGGTTCTGAGGTTCGGGTGTGAGGGGATTCACCAGAGACAGAGTGGAGAACAAAACAGGCCACTTCTTCTTAGATTCTTTTTGTTACATAAAGATATTATTCAACAACCTAAGCTTTCTCCCACTGTCTATTTTGGGTAGAATGCTGGTAATATTACAGGGCCTGTAGACTTAGAAGGTACTTGTTTTTACCATTTTTAAGTTAGTATGACCAAGTCAGATAAAATATTTTTGGTTTCTAAGGAAGCCCTTCCTGTATATGAAGCTCTGAAAACCCTCAAATGCACACACTTCTCTTTTTGTCTGCTGCTTTATTGCCCCATTCTGAGACCTTCTTGGAAATGACAGGCACAGCTATCTGACAGTAATGCTTTATAGTTGGGTTGGTACCTATAGCAGAGATTTTCATTGAGTTTGTTTTCCTGCCATTTAATTTGGAAAGGACAGTGGTTTTAAAAATGGGTGAACTTAGGGGCCTCCCTGGTGGCACAGGGGTTAAAGTCTCAGCACTATCAAGCTATCACCAGCCACTGCGGCATGAGTTCGATCTCCAGCCAGGGAGCTAACCCACATGGCCTAGCAGACCTCTCCTTTCTCACCCCCTCAGCATTGTATTTCAGTAAATCCACCTGTTCTGCTCCCCACTCTGTCTCTGGTGAATCCTCTTATATGCATAAATAAATAAATCTTTTTTTTTTAATGGGTGAATTTAGAAACTCGGTGGAATTTGAGAATGAGCTTAGCTTTCTTGTGAGGAATCTATGAAATCACAGATCTATTATTTTCCATAGACTGAATACATAAGATCACATTTATTGTCATGTAGGCCAAAGTTTTTGATATGAAAGTAGTATCTAGAAAACTCAGATGCTACAGTTTTAGAAGGAGATTCCTAGGGGGTTAGGTTAATTTGAAATGTATCTACAAAATGTTATACATTCTTTATTGTTTACAGTGTTTTGTTGTTATTCAATGTGGAACTCCTTTAATCACTTTATGCTTTCCTTTATCAGAACTATAAGCCATTTCTTCCTGAGAATTTTTTTATTATACGCAGACTATATCCAGTGAACAGAGGTACCACAACTGGGCCAAGAACAGTTCTCATTGTTTGTTTGTTTTTTTCCCCCCTAATGGTGGTTAGAATTCAGACGGTACTCACCTCACCAATCCACAGTCCGATCCCCAGAAAAGATGACTAGAGAAGGATACCGAATATCTTTTTTGGACAATAAGTCTTCAGGTTCCTCTCCGGAAAAGGACATGATATCAAAACCTGATACCTATCACCTTACTCATGATGTCTCATTGGGTAAACGCCTAGATGTGGGTGATTCTAGCCAGATTCATCCTTATCCGTTACCTTCAAAAGTTCATCTGGAAAATTATGATAGTCATTATTCTCAACCTCTGTCCCTGCAAGGAAGTCTTGGTAAAAGGCCTCAAAGAAGCAAGAACTACCGAGAATATAGCGTAAAGCCTCCAAATGACATGAAGGCCACCTCATCCCATTCCTGTGGAGACTTACAGACTTCTCTGTCAAACTTTGACTCCAGCACTGGAAGGCTTTTGAAACTTAGTTCAGGTAATAGCTTCCTATTAGTTTCTAGGTCTTTTTCGTAGACATTAAAATAGAAGGTATACCTAGAAATTTTGGAATTAACATTTCCTTAATTGTATTAGCAATTAGCATTCATTTTTATTTCAGGGTAACTGGTGGTCCATTGAACCTCCAGAAACTTGCAGGGTATAAGTTTAACATGATAAACATATTAGAGAAAATTTTTTGAAATATGAACTCCATATTTATTTAGTTAAAAAGCATTGTGGGACATATTTCTAGTAGTAGTTAATCTCTCCTGGCCTCAGTCATTTCTATTCTGAATTACTTGCAGAGAAAAGCTAGCTTTAGATTGTTGTGAAACCGCTTGAGTTATTTATTCAACAGAATTTCTCGAATACCTACTATGTGCTAGACACTTCTGGCTCTGCAGATAAAAATAGCAAACAAAATAAATTTTAACGTATATTTTACCATAATAAAAAATATAAGTCCCTATATCATAGAGCTTGCATTCTTAATGGGGTAAGACAGATGATAAATTGACAAATATTTGTCAGGTTGTGATAAGCACTGTGATAAAAAATAATATAAGGGTATATGGAGTAATGAGGAGGCGATGTTTTTGATAAAACGGTCAAGAAAAGCGTCTCTGATCAGGTATCACAAAGGTATATATTTAAATGAAGTGAGAATGTAAGCCATGTGGATAACTGAGGGAAGAACTTTCTAGTAAGTACAGTGTTCCTGAGGCCAGATCATGCTTAGCATGTTCAAGGAACAGTGAGGAGGTCAGTGCAGCTGCAGCAGAGTGAACAAGGTGAAATGTATAGATGAATTCAGGTGGCGGACTTTTATCTTGGATGAGATGAAAAGTTGTTGAGAGAGTTTGTAGCAGAGATTGATAGGATCCTACTTAAATGAACAATGGAAGCAAGAATAGAAATTTTAAAATCATTTAAGGTTTTTAAACATTAAAATTCTAACTAACTAATATCTGGTTAGAACCCAGATAAGAGATGATGGTAGCATGGGCTAGAAAGATAGCAGTGGAAGTAGTGAGAAGCAGATTCTGAATATGTTCTGAAAAACTCATGGTTTATTGATGGTTTAAAGATGAAGTATGAAAGAAAGAGGATCAGATTGACTCCCAGGGTTCCAGTATGAGTGACTGGAAGAATGGAGTTATTTACCAAGATGCAAAGGAATAGGAGGTCAGGTTTTAGGGTAGATGTCAAGAGTTTGGGTTTAAACATCTTAAGTTTCAGATGGCTATTAAAAATTCTCTGGTGTGACAATTCCATAATTGGACATATTGGTCTGGAGTTTAGGGGAAAAGCTGTGACTGGGAATTATAATTGGATCGATGGCATGAAAATTGAAACTGGATGAGATCACACCTTAGGAGTGAGTATGAATGGAAAGGATCTTAGAGGAATGATCCTGAGCCTTCCAACAATCAGAAATCAGGTAGATGATGAGAAGCCAGCATGAAGAACAAAAAAGAAGTAGCCAGTAAGGTGGAGAAAAAAGTCAGAGGGAGTGATACTTTGGAAACCAACTGAGGAATGTGTTTCAAGGAGGGAGTGATCGATATTGTATCAGATGTCTTTGCTATAGAAGGAGTAAGCCTGGGACTGAGAAGTGTTTACCGTATTTGGCAATGCATTAGTGAGTAGCTTTGGGAGACTTGTGGTTAATAAAAGGCTTATTGAGTTGGGTTAAAAAAAAAAAAAACGTGTAGGAGAGGCAATAGAGCTACTCAATACCCCTTCAAGGATTCTGCAGTGAAGGGGAGCAGAGAAATGGAACTGTAGCTAGAAGGAGGATGGATTCAAGGAAATCCTGATGGGAATGATTCAACAGAGGGAAAGTTGAGAGGATGCAGGAGTAAAAAGGGACAGTTTCAAGGAAAAAAAAAATCCTTGAATAGTCAAGAGGAAATAGAATCCAGTCTACCATTGGAGAGGTTGATCTTAGAAGCATAGACAGTTCATTTCTGAAGGAAGGCAGAAACTGAAAGTAACACAATGTTATGTGTCAGTTATACCTCAAAAAAAAAAAAATTTATGGATACAAGGGTGAGCTGATAGATTTAGGGATGGGATCATGTACACATTTACTTTGATTACCACTGTTTTTCTCAGGTAATAAAGGAGATCACCTAAAAGTGAAGAGGTAGGATCAGGTGTTGGAAGTTTTGTGGGTTTTTTAAAAAAAATTTATTTATTTATGCATACAAGAACTGGGGTACAGGCCAGGGGTGGTAGGTAAGAGGATTCACCACAGAGATAGTGGGGAACAGAACAGGCAGATAGGCTGAAATGCACTGCTTAGGGGAGTAGTGGGCAAGCCATTGTGGCAGACCAGGAGAGGTCTGCCACCTCTCCTGGTCTGCCACACCATGTGGGTAGCTCCCTGGCCGGGGATTGAACCTGTGCTGCAGTGGCTGAGGAAAGCCTCATAGGCTGAGTCTTAACCCCTTGCGCCACCAGAGAGGCCCAGGTATTGGAAGTTTGAGGAAAGAGATGTGAAATAGTCATCTTAAAGTATGGAAGAGTAAATGGACTAGAGTAATAAATTAGGATAACTGAGTACTACAAGGCCCAATTAAGATGCTGCTTATGAGTTTAAAGTGAAGATGGTCAGAAGAGATGCATGTTGCCTTCCAGCCACTTCATACCACTCTAGGGTAGGCTTGGAGTATGGTGATAGTTGGATTTATGATTTTTTTTTAAGGCATTTTTTTTTAATTTATTTATTTGTTTGTTTGTTTTGTTTATACCAGCACTGGGTACAGTCAGAAGCGCGGGAGGGTGAGAGAATTCACCAGAGCCAGAGCGGGGAGCAGAGCAGGCAGAAGGACCGAAGGACACTGCTGAGGGAGCAGCGGGCGGCAGGGGAGGTCTGCGCGCCCTGTGGGACCCTCCTCCGGTGGCCGGGGAGCAGCAGGGGATCGAGCCGGCACCGCAGAGGCCGCGGGCAGCTTCGCAACCCAGCGCTCAACCGCTGCGCCACCAGGGAGGCCCCGGTGATAGTTGGATTTAAAGAGAGTTGGGATTTCCCCCCCCCCCAATCAGTTGGAGCGAGAGAGAGAATTTAGAGTTTAGAGTGTATGCCAGGGAAAGATTATGATCCTTTGAGTCCAGGATAAGGATGGACTTGGGCCCTGAGGGAGTTGAAGGGCAGATTCATCTCCCAACCTGTGTCTTCCACAGATCTGTATGCCACAACCCATTTCAACAGTGACCCTGCTCTGCTGGTCAATGTAGAGCAACAGTTATCCACCAGCCTCAGTGACTTAACGTCAGCACATGGTTCTTTCCCAAACAACGCTGTCCTAGAAGACTCTTTACGAACACTGCTGTTACCTTCTGGGGCTTCAGAAAGCAGAGAGAATTCAACCCAAAGATCATTAAGCCCATCAAGAAGAGGATTCAAAAGGAAAGACAATATCCTTGCCACCTTGAATCCAAAGCATGGCTTCAGAGACGTTGCTGTCAGTGAGGCAAGTGTTGACTTGTTTGTGCTCGTACAGGGAATACATCAGGTCCACAGCCAGAATGGGGTTCTGTTGTAGGAAGCAGCAGTTCTGGCCAAGAGTGCTAAATGCTGAGAGGAAATTTCGGAAGCTAGTGTTTAACACTGTCAGTCCAGTGCCTGTGATTCCTCTGCCCTTGGGAAAGTCATTTCCCCTCTTCTGCATTTCTTCATCTCTGTCACAGGGAAGAGTCCCTGATCTGCTTCCAGAGCATAAACATGGCAGGGAAGTACTTTGATGAGAAGAAATGGCCAACCGAGTTTGCCAGCAGGAAGGAATGCAAATGTTGATGGAGTTAAGGGGGGAGAGGGGACTGTAGTTTGGTCAAAAGTGATCTCTTTTGCAGGACATTCATAATCTTATCATGTTTACACATTTTCTTGGGTCACAAATGACTAACTTCTTGAGAACATTCTTCCAAAAACATTGCCTTTCTGTCTAGAAATTAAAATTATTCTAAATTTTTTCCACAGTGGCAGCAAACAGATGATGAATAAGATTATCCTAGGGATTTTAGCTGAGAATGGTTCAGAGAATGACCAACAAATCAAGAACCAGTCTCACATATACAATATCATTAATAAAATCGTAGTATGCTAGTTAGTGTTATATAACAGAACTTCATTCTTACTAATTTTTTAAGATTTATTTATTTATGCATACAAGAATTGGGATACAGGCCAATGGTGTGGAGGGTGAGAGGATTCACCAGAGACAGAGTGATTAAATTTTCAAAACTTAGGAGGTGACTATATATATATATATATATATATTTTTTTTTTTTTTTTTTTTTTTTTTGCTTCAAAAGGAACAGTTTTATACTTTCCTGACTTTTTGGTCTCTACCCGCCCCCACCCCTGCCATTTTTGGCCAGAACACTGTGTGTTGACATATTTAGGGTAAAGGTGTAGCAACACTTAGGGTATTTGGAATGCTCTATTATTAAGATATGTTCTAGGAATTTTTTTTCCACCTCTTTCATTTTCTGTTGTTAAATAGCAATTAAAATCTCAGTGTACTTTTCTGACTATCTTTAAAATTTCCATTTCTCTTTTCCTGATAGATACTACTTTTCTTTGTATGAAAAACTACATTGAAGAGCTGCTTGAATATAAATGCAAAAGAAACATACTGTTTAGTTTCTAGAAAGATATCAATAAGTTCTAGGGCTTTCCTGGTGGCGCAAGGGGTTAAGACGCAACCTATGAAGCTATCCTCAGCCACTGCAGCACGGGTTCAATCCCCGGCCAGGGAGCTACCCACATGGAGCATCAGACCTCTCCTGACTCGCCCACTTCTCCCCTCAGCAGTGCATTTCAGTTGATCTGCCTGTTCTGTTCCCCACCCTGTCTGTGGTGAATCCTCTCACCCCCCTATTGGCCTATACTCCAGTTCTTGTATGCATAAATAAATAAAACTTTTTAAAAAATTCTTAAAAGAACATTTAAAAAAGTTATTTTTTAAAATCCCATGAGGGCCTCCCCTGGTGGTGCAGGTGGTTGAGCGCCGCGCTGTGAAGCTGTCCGCAGCCTCTGCAGCACCGGTTCAGTCCCAGCCGGCCGGCGAGGGTCCCACATGGCACAGCAGACCTCTCCTGTCTCCCCCACTGCTCCCCTCAGCAGTGTATTTCTGTCAGTGTTCCTGTTATGCTCCCCACTCTGTCTCTGGTGAATCCTCTCACCCTCCCGCACATCTGGCCTGTACCATGATTCTTGTATAAACAAATAAACAAATCTTTAAATAAATAAATAAATAAAAATCCCATGAAACACAGTTAAACTGTGTATGAACTTATGATTATAAAATTTATTATTGACCAACTGACTGAAGAGACACAATTTACTGAAAATTATGACTCAAAACAATAACAAAATTATTTTAAATTTCGTAAAAATTATCCCCAACTCTCACTGTATTGTGATCAATGAAAGAAAATGCTTAAAGGCCCATATGTTTTCTACTTGTTCTATGGAACACAAAATTACCAATATTTGAAAAATCAGTGACATCAAATATTCATTTTTGATAGGTACCTCTAAAGTGGCCTTGTGGTATAGCTAGACCTTATGATATTTCTCCCCACATCAAGTTGTTAGCTTCTTAAAGGACCTCATATTTTACCTCTTCATATATTCACAGTGCTTATTAAAATCTCTCTGTGAACATGATCAGTGCTGAGTACAGATCTGTGGAATAAATATTTATCCCATTTGTAATGCCTATCCCTGTTAATCATAGGCCACATGTGTGACTCAAATCAAATATCCCTGTCATTGGGGCTCTGTTTCACAGTTGTCAGATATGAGAGTATTAGCTAATCAACCATCAATTTTTTTAAATCAAAGGAACAAAAGATTGAGAAATAATTTGGCTGTTTTTAATATATACCAGCTTTCTTGAAGTCCCTGAGACCTTACTGAAAAGATTGGTATATACACTATACATTAAAATTCATGATTGCTTGTTAGTCATTCAGGCACAAATGAATGTAGACATATATCTCATATCTGAATGAACAATTGTGAATTTTACTGTGCATATCTATTTATACATATCTATTTATCTATATGATTCTTACTGAATAAAAATTATCTTTCAGTACTGATCTAACAAGAATTTAAGTGTTATTCTAGAACATGTATGTTTAGTGTATATTAATATATTAATTATAAGCTGTTATGAGTTATAATGTTTATCAAATTACTTCCCATTTTGTGATACATGCTTTTAAAAAATGTTCTGCAGTTTATTATTATATATTAAATCATAGATGCATACATAGATGTCAAACAAAATATTTTTTTTCTCCAAAGTTACTTTCTACAGAAAATTATCAATACTATTGCCTTTGAAATTATTCTTGAATATGTTATTGTACTTGCTTTGATCATAAATAATATTCTTCTCAAGTTCAAATTGAGAGATGAAAACATTTTTCCTACTTTTTTTCTTTTCCTTTTTTTAATGTTAACACTTCAAATGTGTGACTTCTCATTTCCCTTCTTGTGTAAGGATAACAAATGGTTGGGTTGTTTTTTTTTTTCTTGAGCCTCTCTCTAGTGACCTGGGCAGTTTGTATGGTTTGCCAGGAAACCACAGTCCCCCGATCTCTGCCAGAACCTCCCATGTGGCCACTGTGCTCAGACAGCTGCTGGAGCTTGTGGATAAGCACTGGAACGGCTCTGGCTCCCTCCTCCTCAACAAGAAGTTCCTTGGTAAGTGAGCTGCATTCTCAGCTCCTGAAGACAGGCTCAGACCTTCTGCTCTGTGTCCCCATAATACCAGTCAGCCCCCTTAGTTTGCAGAGAAAACTGTTCTTGTGATCATTTACCAAAACATCTCAGTGACCAAGTAATAGGCAAATCTGAAGAATTTTTTTTACATCCTTCTTCTTCCCTGTTTTTGTTTTGTTATCAGCACTTTCTTTACCTACTGATTATTTTGTTCCTCCCGTAACTTCTTTTTTTTTTTGGTAATCTTTGGATAATTTATACTGATGAGACATGTAAAATAGAGCATGGTCATGTTAATGATTACAAAGATTTTTTTTTTATTGGCAAAGTGCCAATAAAAAGATACACCAGAAATAGGTTATGGTCATCAGAGCTTGAGAGCCCTGTTAAAATTTTAGGATTTGAAAATTTTAAATGAGTAAATGACCTGGACTCTTTTTAGGGGTACTTTTTGGAATTTGGGGGGAAAGAGGTTTGCAAAAGTTAGCCCCATGTGTTTATTGGTTGTTTAATGGAAGAATAATTTAGGGCACTTTTGGGAGTGTAAAAGTGTGAACATTTAAAAACCAGAAATTTTAGTTCTAAGTTGTTTGGCTTAGTTTGTTTTTTTTTTTTCTTTTAAATATTAGATTTATTTATGCATACAAGAGCTGGGGTGCAGGCAAGAGGTATGGGGGGGTGAGAGGATTCACCAGAGACAGAGTGGGGAACAGAACAGGCAGACTGACTGAAATACACTGCTGAGGGGAGCAGCAGGGAGACAGGAGAGGTCTGCCATGCCATGTGGGTAGCTCCCTGGCTGGTCGGGGATCAAACTTATGCTTGCAGAGGCTGCAATTGCTTCATAGTGTGGTGCTGAACCCCTTGTGCCACCAGGGAGGCCCTGGATTAGTTTGTTGTTACTGTTGTTTTTTTTTTTTTTTCTTTTTTTTTTAAAGATTTGTTTATTTATTTATTTATACAAGCACTGGGTACAGTCAGAAGCACGGGGAGCAGAGCAGGCAGAAGGACCAAAGTACACTGCTGAGGGAAGCAGCGGGCGGCAGGACAGGTCTGCACGCCATGTGGGACCCTCCTCCAGGGGCCAGGGAGCAGCCAGGGATCGGATCCCCTCCAGAGGCCCGGGAGCAGCCAGGGATCGAACCCGGCGCTGCAGAGGCTGCGGGCAGCTTCGCAACCCAGCGCTCAACCGCTGCGCCACGAGGGAGGCCCTTGTTACTGTTGTTTTTTTTTTATTTCCAAGGGTAATACAGTAGGAAAAATCCTAGTTCTCCTCCCCTTCCTCCTCCCCATTCCCCCTCTGATCCTCCTAGTCCCCTATCCACCCCACCCCCACCCCTGCCATTACTTTCTTTCTCACATTGATCCTTTGCTCTAATTTTGTAGGATATTTTCTCCTGGAGCCACACCTCAGTGACTCAGAAATAACACAGAACGTGTACTCATGAGGGTCTGCTGTTGTGTCTCCATAGAGGATGTGGGATATAATTTCTTGTCTATCATTAAACACCTCTTACAGCCACTTAGTAAATTCTTATTAAAAAGGAGCTATTAAACTACCCTGTTTGTCCTGCTGAGCTAGTAGTTATTGACTAGAAATTCTGTGCTTTAGCTTTTAAGATTGGCCCGTGTGCCCAACCTGAATTTTTGGCAGGTCCTGCCCGAGATTTGCTTCTGACTTTGGTAGTCCCTGCTCCTTCTCAGCAGTGGTGTCGCTCATATCCTGAAGACACATCAAAAATATTCCGCAGAAGGGAAATGGAACTGAAGGAGGCTGGGCATCTGGTCCCTAATGATACGGTATACCTCTCTCATCTTCCTCTCCTGCTCTTCCTTTATTAGAAGAGGGCAGAGCAGCAAGACTAAAACAGCTCTTTGCCATAAAAATCATCACCATGAACCAAAATATGGAAAAGTTAGTCTGGACAAATCTAGAACACAAAACTTGCTATGACAAGGACAACATGGACATCACTGTAGGGATGACTCCCTAATCTTAGTCCTAATACCAAAATTCTAAACAAAGATTTGAAATGGAAAAGGAAAACAAAAGACCCTAGAATGAAAATGTTCGGGATCATGTTCTTGAAGGTTTTGGCTTGATTCTGATGAGGGAAGTTGGATACCTCTGGGATTGTCTTTTCCTCCCCTTGGATGGAACTGAGAGTCCTAAACTAGGGGACCATTTCTAGAGCATCAGGCTTGCTGCCTCTGGGACTCATGTGAAGAAGGGACTCATATCCTTAAGTATTTTACCCCTCAACATTAGAGAACTTTCAGACACCAAGTTCAGGTTTTAGAAACTTCAGATAAGTGACTCAGAATGTCAATACAACCACTTGTTCCACAGAGTAGTAGATAACTCATAGGAAATATTGCAATTCTTGAGCTGTTTACCAGTGAATTAAATGAGAAAGTCATAGAGAGGCTGTCCTCCATTTGGTTTATCACTAGCAGAGGGAAAATTGTTTTAGTTGTCAAAAAAGCACTCCTCAGAATTTCAGATTCTTAGTCTATTTGGATTTTGTTTTCTTATCTCAAGGAAAGTTTGAAGCAAAAACTGGTCAGAGTGCTGGAAGAAAACCTGATTTTGACAGAAAAAATCCAGCAGTTGGAAGAAGGTGCTGCCACCTCAGTTGTGAGTGGGCCCCAACCCCATACTTATGGTAAGTTCAGGAAAGCAAAGTGTGGTGTGTCCCAAAACAGCTGTTTGTCTGTTGATGACCCATCTAAGAAGCTGCTTCATCAAGAGCTCACTTGGCTCCCACCTGTAATGCAGGTGTCTGGAGTTACCAGAGGAAGCTCTTTGTCAGTGTAAAGCAAGTACAAATGTTGTTATTGTTGTCATTAATTTTGAGTATGACACCTGGGTTTTTTTTTTTTCTGATTCTAGCAGAACATATGCTTTATAGAAAAAGTTGGGAAACTATAACCTCACTATTCAGCCATAACCACCCTTAGTGTTTTTGTTATATTTTCTCCCAGCATAATTCAAAATTAAAAATTATCTTTAGTTTTAAAAATAATTATATACAACAAAATGCACACATTTTAAATTTGATGAGTTTGGACAAATATATATACACACACACACACATACACACAAATATACACACATAATGTACACACACACAACACATACACACTCATTAAATCCATCCCCAAATACAGAATCCTTCTTTACTCCAGAATGTTCTCTCAGACCATAGTGCAGTTTCCCCTACTCTCCACCCTAGGCAATTACCAATCTGATTTCTGCATCCTGTTGTTACTAACTTAATAGTATGGGCATTTCCTATAATACCACATAATATACCATATTTATCTAGTACTCTAAATAGTTGTTTTTAATGTTAGCTATTATAAAGTTGCCATTATTTATACTATAAAGTAATTCTAAAGAATTTTCAGGGCCTCCCCAGTGGCGCAGCAGTTGAGCGCGGGGTTGCGAAGCTGCCCGCAGCCTCTGCAGCGCCAGTTCAATCCCTGGCCACAGGGTGAGGGTTCCACATGGTGCGCAGACCTCTCCTGCCGCCCGCTGCTCTCCTCAGCAGTGTACTTCGTCCATCTGCCTGTTCTGCTCCCTGCTCTGGCTCTGGTAAATTCTCTCACCCTCCCGCGCTTCTGACTGTACCCAGTGCTTGTATAAATAAATAAATAAATATTATAAAAAAAAAAGAATCATTAAATTTAAAAAAATTTTTTTTCAAACAGTCAAAAGATCTGAAATGAAAGACCCTAGAGTAAAAATGCTTCTCGGAGATTGTCTTTTTTCCCTTCTGATGGAACTGAGAGTCCTTATACTATAATAAATAAGATGGCCCTTAATATCAGTGTATATAAATCTTCATGTACATTTAAAACTTATCCTAGGAGACATTCCTAGATAGAATTAATGGGTCAAAAGATGTAATCACTTCTGATGTTTTTGTTACACATTGCCTAATCACTCCCAAGAAAGACTGTTTCTGTCTGTACTCACTTGAGCAGTGAGTATATTTGAATTTCCTGCTCACTCCATTCTTGCTAACACTGGGTATTTAAAAAAATATATTGCCTTTGTCAGTGAACAATAATATCCCACTGAAGCCTTGATTTGTGCTACTTTATTGTTAGCGTGGCTTGGGCCAGTATTTCAGATAAAGTCTACTCTTGACGTTAAACCTCTAGTTAGTTCAGTACCCATAGTAAACATTATAATCCTTTGGCTTTCCATGAGAAACAATGTGAAGTCAGCATTGAATTTCCAGAATTGAGCCCTCACTGTCTGATTCTCATAAACCTGAATAATTAAGGCATCTTCACTAACCTACTCTGAAAATAAGTAGGTGTTTGTTCACCAGGTACCTATTTTCAATCAACCATGAGGCCCCATACAGTATTTGGCTCACTGGTTGGTGATAAATGAAGCTATTGCAGCCCTGTTTTCCAGTAGACCTTGCTACTCAAAGTATGAGTAGTGAATCGGCAGTGAAAGCATTACCTTGAAACTTGTTAGACATGTAGAATATTGATTCTTACCTTAGACCAACTGAAATCAGAATCTGATTTTAACAAGATCCGCAGGTGATTTGTAAGCACATTAAAGTCTGAAGTACTGTTCCAGAACACTGATTTTTTTACAACCATAGTTCTTGTACTTTTACCTACCTTACTGTTACAGGCAGTGGTGACATGTTTAGTTAGTTAGGTATGAATGTCTTGATCACAAATTCAGTTTTTGTGAGCACTTATTGCCTCACACAGTTCCAGATGTTTTTACATTTATGAACTAAAATGGAGACTACAGGGTGGCCTGATTACTTATTGCCTATGCTAAGGTGGTATCTCATTAACCCTCACAACAGTGTTGTGGGATAGGGCTATTATTTCCAGTGAAACTCAGAAAAATGAACTAGCATGTAAAACAGCAAGCAGTTGAATTTTAATTCAGAGCTGTCTGTTGCTAAACCCCATGGTCTCGCCACCATGTCTGCTATCTCTGAGAACATGAATGGAATGTAGGAATGGGTGCAGAGGGGCTCCCAGTTTTTCAGGATGTCCACTTCACAACTCAAGCTCTGCTCAAAGACTTGCAGCTTGGAATCCTGCTCACCCTTGGCTACTATACCTTTTGTAGATGATCTTCTGCGGAAAAACCAACAGCTGAACATGCAGGTAGCTTGCCTGAACCAGGAACTTGCCCAGCTGAAAAAACTGGAGGAGACAGTGGCCCTTCTCCATGAAAGTCAGAGGTAGGAAAGGGTTAACTGACTCTGGAAACAGATGTCTATTGCCCTTTATCTCTTGTTTTACTTGACAAGTTAATATCTACATACTTTTTAAATTAACTACATTGTGTGTCTAAAGCTCCTCTATATAGGATAATTAGCTCAGTGATCAAAGTACTGCTTTCCAAAACACATTAGGTGCTAAATGTCTTTGCTGCCATTGGTGAGTTATAACACCTCAATGATAGTTTCTCACTAGATCTAGGGAGAGAATTGTTTGTGTCCGCCAGCTTTTCTTGGACATTATGTATCCCTAAAAATAAGTCATCTGGCTCTTCTGGGAAATATCTGCCTCATATTGGTTATAAAAGAACTATCAAGAGTATGCAGAGAGATAGGGAGAGGATCCAATGTATGTGTTCTTGTCAGAGGAGCTCAATAGCATCAGCCTTTTCAAAGTACGATCCTCAATATGCATGGTAGACAAAACGACAGGGGCGGCCTCAGCACTGTTGATACATTTAGAGACTCCCTTGACATTTGATTTGCTGGACACCTTTACTAGAACTTTCAATAAAGTCTGAATATGAGAACCCAGACCTTTAGCCCCAGATTTTACTTCCTAGTTTTCCTTGGAATAGCATGTTCGTATTCAGACCCATTCTGGATTACTTAAATGTATCTTTCTTGTTATAATTATTTCAAACACAGGTAGCATAAAGTTAATGCTTCTCAAGCTGAGGTATGCATCAGAATCACCTGAAAAACTTTGAAATGCATCTTGCCTACCCTCCTCCCCGAGTTTCTGATCCAGAAGGTCTGGTCTGGGAACTGAGAACTTGCATCTCTAATAAGTTTGTAGCTAGTGCCCTTGCAACTGGTCTAGGTGCCACACTTCGAGAATATTAGGGTGTATCTTTTTAATAATGTAGTGTCAAATTGCTATGTTTTCTTCTGTGTATTGTTAAACAATCAATTCAACATATAGGTTCAATTAGTTTCACTTTCCCTTTGTAGACAATTTTTAAATTATTTTGATTAATGTTTTTTTTATAATTACATACAACATTTACATGATTCCCAAAGTCAAATCTACAAAATACAATAAATTCAGACAAATCCCAGCACAAGAAGTTAAGTCTCAACACTATGAGACTATCCGCAGTCACTGCAGCACAAGTTCCATCCCCAGCCAGGGAGCTGACCCACATGGCGCAGCAGACCTCTCCTGTCTCACCCTCTGCTCCCCTCAGCAGTGTATTTCAGTAGATCCACCTGTTCTGTGCCCCACTCTGTCTCTGGTGAATCATTTTACTCCCCGCCACACACACACCTCTGGCCTATACCCCAGTTCTTGTATGCATAAATAAATAAATATTTTTTAAAAAATAGTCATCATTAGTTAATTGTAGAGGCCGGATAGATGAGAAGACATAGAAGTTCAGATTTGAGGGTAGAAATTGGAGGTCTGGTCAGGAGCCCATCCTCCCAGTGCTTCTACTTACCTCATCATGAAAGTACTTTGGAAAGAATAGAACAATTACAATATAAAATGTGAAATATGTTATTGCTGTAGTCAGTCTGGAACATAATCAAATAGAACTGTAATGAAGAAACTGTCAGCCTGCTTCTAAAATAACCCACTCATAAATCGGCAGTTCTTTCTATTTAAAAT